TATATATATACACAGAGATCCACAAGTAAAGTAAAAATTTCAACCTTTATCTGGCTAACTACAAACTCTGCTCTCGTAGCCAGAACCTGTTTCTAGCCGGTGGCGTAGGGTCCACTCATACTGATCAAATGACCTTGGACAAAGGATGCTGTGTCTTGGTATCTCATCAGACAACTGAAACCACAATCGTTCATCAAATAGATAAAAAGCCAAAGTGATTTCTATTGGGCTACAAGCATCAGACCCACCCACAGCACTCTGTTGGGGGATAAATTTTTTTTCATTTTAAGTGGAAACAAGTATTTTCCTGTCGGTATGAAAAATAACAAATTTCAAAAGCCCTCATGTTATCAGTTTTACAACCAACGTTTTATGATGACCCCTATCTTGTTCTTGGCCATTTTTCAGGTTTATATGGAGTGTGGCTTACTCTAATTGTATTAGCAAAATAAAAGGTCCCTATAAAATTGCTCTGCAACTCAAGACAGATACGACCTGCAAAAGCTCAACACCAAAGAGCTGTGAGATTATTTATTTGCTGAAATCTTATTCTAGGGATTTCTTCCATATGGTTTAATGTAATTTGGTTTTAAAAACTAAAAGCCTATCATATAAACTAAGGTGCCTAGCCAACATAAGGAAATTGTTTTAAAGCCTTTTATTAGATATGTGTGTTATATATTTCTTCTTTTAAGCAATTACATTATTCACTCTGGCCAAGAAAGCTTTCTTCCTAATGATATTAAAACACGGAAAAGGATTCATTGGCATGAATACGATATTTAACTGTTCAAATTAAAAGCAGACCTCAAAGCAGTATTTCAAAGCAAGTATTTGAAATAACTTTTCTGTGAACTAAAGCCAGTAATGACTTGGGGGGGGGGATACCTCTCTATCCTTTTCCTACTCATTTCCAACTATTCTGGGCCAGGATATTTCCTGCTAATCATACATATTTTATTTTCATCCAACTTGCTAGGTACCTTAATTTAAAAAAGAATCCCATAATAAAGCACTTACTCAACACGATGAAAGTCCCTTCCTTATGCAATTGCTGTTTCATGACAGCCTTCCCTTTATGTAGTTCTTTTCATCTCTTTCCTTTAAGGGCTTGGCTTGGTTTAGACTATAATTATTCTTGAGACCCCAGGTTAACACTACCATTAAATCTTGTAGAGGTGGATGATAAATTGGAGGCTAACAAGTTGTAATGATCTTTTCCTAAGAATTCTTCTTGTTTGAATTCAGCCACCATAAAGCAACATGAAGAAATATTCACATGCCAGGAGACTCTTACACGCAAAATGTCATGCGCCCACAAAATTACATTGCCGAACATACAGATATTATGAGCGATTGTGGGTTCCCTCTTGCAAACAATTTCTGCTGGTCTCATGGCAGGTGATGGAGGGTTTCTAAATAAGATACGTCAGCGTTTACAAATTTTATACTTGGTGGCTTTAACTGCTTCAGAAAGATCTTTAACACCATCTCCATCCCCTCAGTGGGAATTCACTGAATCAGTGTTCCCTTGATATAAAAAATGGAAAGTATTTCTTCTAAAAATAAAAATCTCTTTCAGCACAAAAATGACTTAGCCACTCCATAGCATATATGGTGTGATCAAAAGCTATAGTGCATAGTTAAAATAAATTATTACAGTAAAAGATGCATGGCCGTTAATCACCCTCATCATGCTCCCCGTGGTCAAACACAATTATCCACCATTCTTGCCACCTTCTGAAGCAGTTCTAGAAGTCCTATTTCATGAGTGTCTTCAGTTGTGCTCTTGTGGCTGCCTTGATGTCCTGAATCAAGTCAAAATATTCACCTTTCCTGGTCAGTTTGACTTTGGGGAACAGCCAGAAGTCATATGATGGGTGGAGGTAGACGAGGACACACCATAATGTTTTTATTTGACGGAAATTGCAGCAAACACAAACTGTAAACTCTTTCAAAAAGTGGCAAGAACAGTGGGATAAATGTGTCTGAAGCATAAATGTAAATGTAAGCTGCTTCAGTAAATGGCAAGCGCAGAGGTAACTGTGTTCAAAACAAGAGGAAGTATTCTGAGGGGGAGTAATGGCAATGTGCCTTTTTTCTGTAATGTTTTTTTCATTTAAATAATCATCATAGTTTTTTGTCATACCTTATATATTATCCCATACTTCAGAGCATCATGTGTCACACAAGAAAGGCACACAACTTTATCTGTCACTTTAAATAAATAAATGGTGGAGGGGGGAGACCAGGTAAGCTTAACCACTTAACTTTCCTTCCCTTCAAAACATAAACGACACGGACCCATTTTTCTGTTTTTTTTATTTTTCGCAGGTCACACTTTTAGTTGCATTAGATTGATTATCCTCTGTCCAGGATGCAATATCATTTGGTTTCATCCGTGGTTTGATCTTGAGAATAATTCATCAACATAAGTTTTCCTCTCATGTCCCTCCACTGACATCATCCAACTGACTTGCTGATAAAATAGACAGCTTGAGGAGAATCTGAGGAAAGTGTGCAAAGGACATGTATAAGGACAGACACTCATCTTTTCAGTAATGTGGGCATTTGTGATCATGAAGAAACAAGAATATATGAATGGAGAGCAAAGTGTTTCCATATGTAAAAATTAGAGTGCTGGGAATCAAAGCTATACTGGGAAAAATGTCATGAGAGGTGCAAAGCTCCTGGTAGCATTTATATTCTAACTTGAACTTCTTCTGGCTTGCTCTGAATACTTCGGTGTCTTAAATAATTGATGAAGCATTAAACTGGGAGAGTATTGAAGAGAAAAGTGGGCACTGTGGGGACCTGAGAGCCCTGTACTTCCATGAGCTGCCTGCAGGGCCAGCAGTCTATGTGGAATCCAGATGCCTCTTCCTGCTATGTATTTGAGCAGCACTTCAAACAGCTCTCTCCCGAGAGAACTCCAATGAGAGGACTGTTTTGGTTTGAGTCAAACGGATGCCCTGCCTTGTATCAATAGAATACATACACTAGAATAACTAAGTTTTACAACCGAGGTTGGTTTTTCACACTTCAGGCAGAGTTGACTGAGGTCTAGAAGCTCATTGGGAGAATAACAACGCAAGAAGCTTTGGACTCAAGAATATTTACCCAAAAGGCGAACAAAGCAGACATCCATCCCTGGATTACAAAGCAGTATTCTAACTCAAAGGCTTGAGAAGACTCGATTCACTGCTATTGCTACCAGGTAGGAAATGGCTAAGCAGGTCTTCCAGGGTTCAGAATTCAGGTATGATTTCAGAATGGAGGCTTTACACCAAAGCCAAGGCAGAGGCGGGCCTCCTTGGTAGGAGGCACAAGTCGGAGATCTCTTCAGGCTGGTTAGCTGAAGCAAAGTCATCAGTGCAGGGCCCCAAACAGCTCCTATCACCTTCTTCCCACCACCTTTATCAGTGGCAACCTGTCCTTCTGGTTCTTCTTCCACCCTACACTCCTTGGTCCTCTGGGGGCTGTATGAGCCAGCACCACAGGCCATGATGCTCCAGCCAACCCGTGCTGTGCCAGGAAAAGAAACCCCTTATCCTTCTCTGACACTCACAAATCACCTGTCAATAGCACCAATCATAGGGGGCTTCTGAGTCCCTTCTGGCCTCCATACTAAGGAAAATTCCAGGATGACAAGGACAATGAGCACGTGGCCTGGCAGTTCTGCTGTTCAAGAGCTCTACTCAGCTTCAGTCTGGTCATCCCAAACAATAATTGCTGGATCAACAAAAGGTAGCCCACGTTAACCTCCTTACCCAAAGGTAGGCAGAGGGACTGCAAAGCAGAATGTTCCAATGGGCATTGGAGAAGAGGATTGTCAGCAGCCTGAACTCTCCCACACACCACTGACCCAGAAGCCACTGCAGCTCCTGGAACAACACACCAGCACATTGCAGAAGCCTCAAGCCCTATAGGTGAATTCCTGTCAAGCCAGAATTTGAGGAAAAGACACAAGAGGAGGATCATAGGATCCACAGAAGGAGAACCTCTACTTCCCAATACAGATGAATTAGAGCTCTGCTCAGCATGCTCTCCAGGGCACCAGCTCTATGGGGAGCAAGGCCGTTCTTATGACCTCATCCAGCCTTCTCTCCAGGGATGAAGAAATGGTATTGTATGAAGGAGGATGAACAAAGCATACATCATGTTTGGGAGCCAGATTAAGGCAAGAAAAAGCAGCAACCACTTGGAAACCCAAAGAGAGAATCTTAAGTCAGCCATGCTGAAATTCTCATTCATGCCTAAAACCTGATTGTTTCCAAGCTCCATCCTGCTCCACGAAGCCACAGTGAACTCAAGGCCATGGATACCTTCACTGAACCCTGAAAAACTGATGTATTTTCACAGCAAACATCACCTCTTCCCTGCCTTCATCACCTCCTGGCCACCATGTACCCACCATGTACCATGCATAAACTGAAACCAAAGGCAAGGAGAATAGGTCTAAAGAAGAAGACACATGTACTTTTCTCCTTTTTTCCCTCTGTTCAAAAGTGAATCCATGTTCAAAAGTGAATCCTGAAGGCAGGAAGATAGGTTCAAAAAAAATAGGGGAATGCTATATTTCCTTGTCCTATGAGTTTGTGACAAAGGGTTATTTTTGCTCCATGTTGGAAATGGGAACTGGAGTTTCCTTCCCATTCGTCTCACTGGGATTAATTCCACATGCTTCTCATAACATTCAGGAGCCTTCTTGTATGATTGTCCCTTTGAACATTGAAGCAGAGAGTTAATAATAGAGAAACTTTGAATAATAACTCCATGAAGTATATTGTATATTGACAAGCATATCTACCTGGGAATCAGCCACCTTATTATAAATAACTTATATGTCAAGTGTGAAAAAATACAAGTAAAAATCCTAATGGAAGTAACCTTTTCATTTTCATTTTCAAAAATAACACTTCTAAACTTTATCAAATATTTCAGGTCAAGCAAAATAAAGATTGTACCTAATTTCCTCATTCCCAAATAGTTGAAGCTGCATTTTCTATATATTTTAGTCCATATCCATCAAAAAAAATTCTGGGACAAAAACCCTGTATTGGAGGTCTTTATTGCTGATCCTTTGCACCTTAATTAATGGTTGCCCATGACCTGGAGCATGAAGTATTGCACTTCTGGCATTATTTGTTGTTGACTGTGATTCAATTAATTGAAAATTTTTGCTGTGGCTAAAGAAAATGTGAAATGGGGTATTTATAGCCATGGATACCTGATTTTTATTTACAGTCATCTGAAACAAATTCTACACTAGTAACAGAGCCATAACATCTAAGCTCAGAATTTCAGAAGCATTTGACTTTCAAACCTGCTTTTAAAGTGTATGCTGTGTGGTGCTGGTGTTTTTATTAATCAGAAAAAATGTTTATGCTACAAAAGATTTTTAGTATATTGAGGAGCTGCATTGATGTCTATTAAACAATTGCTAATCAAATAATAATCCTCGATGATCCAAGTGAAACTATAGCTGAGTTTGACAGTAGCTTATAGGGCTAAGTTGTATTTTGGCTTAGTTTTCATATTCAGGGAGACTCATTTCACAATTGGTAGATGTGCAAATGTGCTGGCACTTCTGATTCTTATTTTGTAGGGAGAAATACATTAAGGAATTCTATTTCCCTTGCCAGCTGGAATTAATAAGTCCATGGCATGATTAGGTACCAAATCATACCTTTTTCTAGGTGTAAAGTTTTCTCTTTTTTTAAAAGAAAAATAATACTTAGAAGAAAGTTTTTAGTTTAATTTTGCTTTTTGTAAGAAGGCTACCTGTGATGGTTTAGCTTTGATTGTGTTAATTTGATTCGTTTGGAAACAATCCAAGGAGTTGGTGGAGTACACTTGTAGATATGTCTGTGTGGGTCATGGAACATGATTTTTAAGTTTATATCTGGTCCTTGACCCCCTTCTCTCTGGCACTGTTCCCCCACTCTGCTTCCCAGCTGCTATGAACTAAGCAGCTTTGCTCCACCACACTCTTCTACTGTGATGGTTCTGCCTTGGAGCCAGGTGATTATGTACTGAACCCCCTCAAACCATAAGCTAAATCAAACTTCTCCTCCTTTAAATTGTGGTGTTGTGCCTCCAAAACAGAAAAGCAGACTAATATACTGCCTCTCATGATAATTTGACTTAATGCTCTTTACTAACATTAACTGGCTCAAAGATAGTAAGGCTGCTGTGTGTTATTTTCACACAACTTTTGTTAGACAATAATATCAAAAGCAATACTAAATAATACCTACTTCCTGTTTATGTGGCAATGTGTTAAATATTTTTACATAGTGCATATTTTAGTCTGCTTCGGCTGCTATTACTGTAGAGTGGGTGGTTTATAAGTCACAGAAATTTATATCTCAGGGGCCTGGAGAGTAGAAGCACAAGATCAAAGCACCAGCAGGTTTGCTGTCTGGTGAGGACTGGTTTCCTAGTTTATAGACTGTCTTTGCATTTTATTCTCACATGGCTGAAGGAAGCAAGGGATCTCCTCAGGATGTCTGTCATTAGGGTGTTAACCCTGTTCACAAAGGCTCTATTCTCATCATCTTAACCACCTCTTAGGGGACTCACTTCCAGATACCCTCACCCTGGGGATTACATTTTCTCATAAATCTTGTAGGAACCCATTAAATCTATAACACTGTATCATACTTAATTTATAACAGACAAGTTGAGTCTTAGGAGAAACCTAAGTCAACTATCTCAGTTGGAGAAGAACCTCAAATTGAAGTCATTCTCCATACTCAAACAGGTTTTAGCCAGATCTGTGAGTTTCAGAAATTTAGTGATCAGTTTTAGCAATGGTGGGAGCACACTACAACAGGACTGATGTAAGGCTTTTGTTTGTCTGTTTGCTTACTTGCTCTCGCAAAAGCACATCTGATTAAAATTGTTAATATTGAAATGATTTGCAGAAAAAAAATATGGGACTCTTTAGCAAGTAGATCTCCAAAAATAGTCTGCCCTTTAAAAAGAGAAAAGGTAAACACTTGTGCTGCTGTTTATGAGGCTAATTTTCTTAGTAATGATGATGACAATTAAGGGGTTATGTACATTTTATTTCTCCAAATGATTTTTAAACTATTTTGGATATTTTTTGTTCTGACTTTTCATAACATTGCTGAGCTAACAGGGCATTACCTCTGAAAGACTGGTGTCATCTGGGTTTAGGTAGGCCATCAAGTGCTTCCCAATATCAGTCTTCACTAGCACAAGTAGTCTGGCTTCTGTTAATAAAAGGGGCAAGTGAGGAGCCTAAAAGGATAAAGTAGAAAAGTGGGTGACATTAAAATTAGAGCAAAAACTTAACATTATCAAATTTTTTCTTTTTCTACACATAATATTTTTCTGTTTAAAGAAAAAGTTCTGTAGTTTTAAATAATTAAAAAGCTTCATTACTGACCTATCACAAGGCAGGACCTGAACATTCTGCCATTATGCCGCAGAGTAGATGAATAAATGAAGGACATTGAAAAGTGCTTGATTTGATGACTGCGGAGCAGCAAGCAACAATGAGCAATTATTTCGAACAACTTCCAGCAGGAAAGAGCTTTGCTCCGGCCTCCATTGTGTTCTGGTGCCCCATTGTTTGTAATTACACTTGTACACTGTGACAGCGCAGTCGTTAAATTAGAAATTGAACTTCTTTGACAACTGCAGCAAAATTTGACAAAAGATGAATGTGATTTTTTTTTGCTGTTGTTTCCCTTCGTCTTTCATTTATTTAAACATGTATTAATTAACTTGTTCTGGCAAGTGTTTAGTAAACATTGAACAAGGGCATTTCTTTGGTGGTATAATTAAAATTCTCTTTTAAAATGTTTTGCATGATATTTTATGCGCAATTTGACTGAACTAAACAGAGGTTCTAATTAAGGTTTTTAAATGAAGGCAATCAAAACTGATACAACACCCAGCATCCCACTCAAACACATTGTCTTCCTGTCTAGTGCGAGTTTAATTTGATGGTCAGTTAACATGAGCCTGAATTAGTTAGGATGTCCCCACTTCCTCCCCTCTATTTTGGTATCAAAAAGAAATCTTTGCATGTTGCAGTGCCCCTTTAAGTGGTTATAAATTATTTATTAAATTACATTTCTTCTAAGTTATTACACCGAGATACCCTGAGAAGCATCTAATTTAAGTTAGGAATGCTCCGCAAATAAAGTGTTACATAAAACACACTGAATGAACAAGCTATCC